TGTAATAAAGCTAGTAACCCCAATACAGACTTTAAAAATCATTACATAATAACTGATACATCTTGTCCAAAGTGTGATTACCATAATGAAGATAACAAAAAAAAAATTATGAATTGTCCAGCATATAGGACTTAAAGTTACAAACTAAGAAAAAACTTATATGAACTTGGTGTACTGTTGTAGCTAAAGATCCTTTTATTGGCAGTTCGGAGTTTACCTGTCAAACGAACTTCAACATTATAAAATGATATATAAGAATACATGTATATCAGAGTAACAAAACTTTTTAAGTACATTCCAACTTGATACATTTTCTTCTTGTTGAATTTTATTTATACAATTATTTGGCACATGTACGAGGGCTGTTCAATAAATAATGTCCTGAACTGTATGACATAAAATACAGATATCACATGACATTAAACTTGACTTTCTCTCATTATTGAATCTTTAATGAAATTATAACAGTTTATGTGACCACTTTCCATTACATAGTTTTATCGCGAGAAGCTGGGAAACAACGGCTATTCGAGACACTGCATTATAAATGAATGGTAAAGAATCAGTATAATAGAGTGAAAATAAAAGCTTCATTAAAGCTGCTGTAAAACTTGTTAAAAATCCAAAAGAAATAGTCACTGAAATATGTGACATGATAAAAAAAATTATATAATGGGCATCAAAAATGGGTACCGTCCTTGCCAATAAAAATTATAACAACTTATGTACTGTTCGCCAAATTTCAACAAATAATATTTGATGATGTATGATTGACTTCAGGACACATAACAAATTTGATAGACATCATATCGGGAATACTTTATACTGTTTTTAAGAAACGTTTGACGGTAAAAACGCTTGGTACCCAATGGTCACCCTATGTTTTGAAAAGTGAGTGAAAACGATAGCATGTACAAAAGTCTTAACAAGTATTTTAAAATATCATTAACTGTAGTTATCCACGTTTGTTTTATATTTAAACAGATATTGGAACATGAATCTATTGCTTAAAACCCTCAAAACAAAATTAACCATAGGATGTACTTGATAAAAATGGCGCGAAGGTCTGACAAGAGCAAAGAATTGCAAGAGCACAAAGACAGATTTATATGCAATTTTCTTAAATATTAGTGGTATTGTTGTTCAAATTTGTATTCGGGGAGACAGTTTAATTTCTGGAGAAGTCTAGAAAGCAATTTTTTTTGCAAAAAATCTAGAGGTTTTTAGAGGAAGGACCCAGAATGAGGAATCTACTACACTGGATTTCTTCATGACAGCCTCCAAACCCACATGCTCTGAAGAGTAAAGGGGTTTTCGGGATAAACAGAAAGTTATTATTTTTTTTCACATTAACAATATTCGCAAGATCTTTGACCTTTGACTTGTTTCTATTTCCAAACTTGAAAAATACACATTTCAGAGGGAAGAAACAAGTCCAGGAAATTATTTGATCTGCCATTTTCCAGTATACTAAGGGTCATACCCAAAAAATTAGTTCTAAAAACAATCAGAAATTGGATAAAAATGTTACGGACATGTGTTTTACTTAAAAGAGGTTATTAAGTAAAATCATGAAGACTAAATCATTAAAAAGCGTCTTTTGCTTCTTTCTGAGCACCGAGGACATTATTTATTGAACAGCCCTCGTATGCTATTTTTTAGCTGGATCTTGTGTTTAAATCAAGGTAGTGAAATCATAAACCATAGTTAATCCAGAAAGAGTTTTATACAATAAATTCACTTGTCAAAATGAATGCCACATGGTCTATCGTTTAAAGATAATCACCAATTTCTTGGTGATTAAACTTAAGGGACAACGACCCTCAGCCAGGAAGGACAACTCTTTAATTTATAATTTAATTCAAAAAGTCTTTAAATTTAGCTTGAAAATTAAATATTTTCATGCAACAATTTTCATTATATGCCTCTCAATGTGTTTCAAGGTTCTTTGCAAAGCTCCATAAATCACTTCTAATTTCATATCATGTTAATAAACATTGGTATCTAAAAATGCTTTTTTCGGGATAAAATTTTCTACTTTTAATTAGTCCTTTCTAAGAAGTTCAAAGAACCTTGAAGCAAATTGAGAGGTATATAATGAAAATTGTTGCCTGAAAAGATTTAATTTTCAAGCTTCATTTAAAGATTTTTTGAATTAAATTATAAATTAAAGAGTAGTCCTTCCTGGCTGAGGGTCGGAGTCCCTTAAAGATCAAAATTATAGTTTATTTGGAAAGATTTTTTAAAAAAAAGATACCCGGTATTGCAGATCTGAAATATGAAGTGCATACATTCAAAAGTCACCACAAGTGTTTTAAAGAAAGATCAAAAGTCAAGTTCACAGGGTCAAAAACTCGCTGTGAATTTTGAAAGACTTTATCATAGCTTATGTACATGTCAAGAATGAAAGTCCTATCTTTTCTCGTTTAAAAATTATATCAATGTTTAAGATTCATGTTCTTATGAAAGACTGACTAAGAGACGAATGAGATTAATTAAAGGTTGACGTGCGTGTAAGAGGGTGACAATATAGTGTTATAAACTTAAACTGTAAAATTGACCCTCTTTCTGGGGGAACCAGATGGAAGGGTTATATATTCTTCATATAGCAAAAATGCTTTACATTAATTAAATTCTTAATTAATCTTTACTTCATGTTGCAAGCATGACAGAAACAAACAAGTTCACAAACATAACAGTAACAAGCAATGGAATTACAAAACCCATGTCTCTGATTCTTTCATTTTTCCTCCAAGCATGCTTCAATTATCCCTTAATTCCCCTTTAATTTAATGAAACTGAAAATTGTGAGATTTTTCTACTTCCGGAGCTGCATAATTTTAATGAACACAAAAATGTTCAGCTACATGCTTCTGAGTTGAATTGAAATTACCATTATAATTGCAGCACATGAAACACAGAGAGACAACAACAACAAACAGTATTCAAGATCTAAGTCCATAGAACAATACAAAGATGAAGCAGAGCAAACACGGACCTCCATAACATCAGACATGTATGAATAATGAAGTAATCAAGTATTTTAAATTACTTTACCATGTAGAATCATTTCATTTCTTCTTCTTCTTCTTTCATGTGAAATTTCACCATTTCTAAAAAAGAAAACTAAGCAATTTTTGATACATGTAGAGACAAAAAATGACAGGTATAACCATGCAATCTTAAATGTATTCAATTAGTAATTACATTAAACTGAAATCACTCTATGCGTACAACACTGCTGTTGTAAAAGGTAAAAATAATGTGCAGTTCCTATAAATGGAAGTTTGTCAAAATTGAAAAATCGTGTCGCTGAAAAAAAAATGTGTAATAGAATGCTAGTATAAATTCAAATCGCTAAGTTTGTGCAATGTTTTAGATCCTTCAGATCACTCTTGCTACATTTCTTGCCCAGACAGTCTTAATTTTTAATCAATCACCATTTAATTTAATTCAAACATTTCTTAGGAATATCTTAATATTTGTTAACATTTTAATTGTCTTTTACTTATGCCATTAAAATTTGATAAATCGATAAATCGACTTTTTGTTCATTCTTCATATTAATTTTTTACCTTTCTGAAAAATAAGCAACACTATCGGAAATAAAATATATTAATCACAACAAAACATCAATTTACCAGTAAGGTCTGTCTTAAATCAATCGGTCAGTTATCGCTCTGCAAATGCAAAAAGTACGTGCAAAAACCATTATCTAGCAAAAACAATTCAATTTCTGACGCTGAGTGAAGCATTGGCAGAAAATCAGAATCCCCAGTGGAATAGACGCTGTCAGTGGACAAGAATGCCGTATTGAATGATTACAATCTATAGAAAAGAAAATGTAGAAATGAATTATAAACTCTACAACTTGAGGCAAATACGAGAAGGTTTGATATGGAATGTCGATGATAATCTAATTGAACAAGTTGAAAACCGTCAATGTTATCCAAATTTTGTAAATTACTGCTTCTAGATCAATCCTGGAATGACAGCTATTGTATACGAATTTCAGTCAAAACTATCATTAAACGTGCTTCATAGTTGAAAATGATCAGATGTTGTTTTTCTAGCAGATGAGAGATCTTTTTTTCATATTGTGGAGGTAGTTTTTAATAGGATGAATAACCTGTCATTTACCTCCAAATTCAGCCGGGTATTCATCAAAAATTACATTCACATTTAGCTTTAGCTTTAATTACTTAAGTCGCATTTCTGTCCCCTGTTTTTAATTAACGATTCTCTAAATAATGATTTGGATTGGAAAAGTTATTGAATAGGAAGCTCCAACTATTGGGTGGATGCTAAGAGTATTTGTTGGTCCATGCCCAGTTCATTAATCTTTTGGGGAAAGCTCGTTAAAACAGATTTATACTGCTATCTACTTAAGTAGACATAGAAATCAATAGCGAGATAATTACACCTTTTTTGTTAGAGGTACTATATAATTTCTATTTCAGTTTAAACGAATGGTAATTAAAGATCAACACACTTTTACTTTTGTTTTTTATGAATAAAAGAATTTGAATGTTCAATATTTACAAAATACTCTTACGAACTCCTTTGTGGTCTTGTCTTTTATATACAGAGAAAAACCCCACTTTCTTCAGTAGTATCAGCAACACAATTCAATTTACAGAAACGCATAATAGGAATGTGATCTCCATCCTTTACTCCATTTAATAAAACTGTCAAGACAAAACACGGACTTATGCATCATTCCTTTGCACGTCTAGATGTTAAACAAGCAAAGGCAAAAGTAGTAAGCAAAAAGTTGAAAGTTCAGTTCACACTGCGAAGTTCTTCTTTGGCATTGTCTTTTAATGAAAAAACCCTTTGAGACCAATGGTATATTATTTTCTATCAAATCAATTTACTGAATTTGCATAAAGCATTGCTCGACTAGCGATCAATAGCGAGTGAGCACTATATATTTAACTCTATTACTCGCACGTAGGGATTTCTCGAAGTCCGAGGTTGAAAACCTGATAAATTCCGAAATGTCCGTGAGCATTGGGATAAGACAATTCTTATTGTGCTTTATATTGTTTATCTGGATTTCTCTTTCGATGTCTTGGAATTCTGATGATGTTCAGACAATAAGGAAGAATGGTGTTCTTAGCAGTGGCTATGACAGGTTGGTTCGCCCGTCTCAGATTACAAATGTCAGCGTAGCTCTCAACCTTATCACCATCAACTTTATGGTATGGAATATTTTTACATCATGAGTTTTTAGGAAAATGGTTCATTGACTCTCACTCTGATTCTAATCATTTGTTTTCTACTGATATTTACTACAGAATAGAAATACACATATTTAATAATCAACTAAACTCCCATTTTAACAATGAATAAGCAGCCTTGAAACAAGAATCAAAATTCATTTCTCTTATGGGTTAACTTAGCGTGCAGAAAGCCGGTAGCCTGTGATATATAAAATTCATATTAAAATTGTGAATGTAGTATTTTGAGTAAAGTTCTCATTATTTGTAAGTATGAAATCATGATAAACAAAACTTTTCCGATGAATTTTTCTCGTGAAAATTTATTTTACAAAGAAATTAATAATAAGTCGTATTCACTAGGTTCGAATCTCAGAAATTAATATCCCGAGTAGCATTTTCTTTTGTGACTAAGCAAGCTAGACAAGTCATGTTGATACATTGTATTACCCTTAATTTAGTGGACTTCCAAGTATTTCTTGAAAAGGTGCAAATGTTATGTTATTAAAGTATATTTTTAAGGTATGGTGGGTCTTCGCTATATAATTTTGGTAATAAAAAATGTTATTTTCATATAAACTTTTAGGATTAAGGTTCAAAAAAAATTTGAGCGATGACCACCTAGATCAAAATAGCGTTTTAGTGTCAGAAAATGAATCTTTTTTTCCCTCTTTCGTGTGTGTATAATATTTCATAAGCAAATAACTTCAATCTTCATGAGAGTTTTGCAAGTTGTAGAGATCTTACACGAAGTATACTTTAATGTTAGATGAAATATTAAGGAAAATTTTGATATAATAGAGATTTCATTTTTATACCTTCATGATTGTCCCGCTTTAGGCTTATCAATCGTCATGTTCACCAATCTCCTTTAATCATTTTTAAACTGAACTAAATTACCACTGAAATGATTTAACTGTCTGGTCTTGAAAAAGTGAAAGTAAATATATGCAAGTTGTAGAAACAGTAAGTTAAAAGGTTAAGGGTATTTTTATTTCATGGCAATCAAAGTAGAAAAAAACTCTAATACAACTTGAAAAATCTTATTTTTAGGATATAAAGAACCAGGTCTTATCAACGACGGGCTGGATAGAAGCGGTACGTCACTTTTAAGAAAAAAAAATCTTCACAGAATAATAGCAAAAATCTACTCCCAATAACTAATTTAAATTCTTTCATTGAAAATAACACTGTGTTACATTTAGAGTTGGGAAGATCACAGGTTAGTCTGGGATGTATCTAAATACCCAAACATAACAGACATCTTCGCTGATGAGAGCGAGGTGTGGCGGCCAGTTTTCTTCGTAGATAATTCGTAAGTTTCATCTTTATTTTCCTTTCTAAATTTCCTATCTTTTAAAACGTCAAATGATATTTTTGAGTATCTTGTACACGTTTGGAAAATTCGAAAAATTTTTAAAATCATGTTTACATTTCTGATAAACGTGTATTAAAAATAATTTAAAAGTACAGTACATTATCTTGTGTATTTTGTATTTTGGTTTCCAGCATTTCCATCATGCGTGTCTTAAAATACAGAAACTTATTTTAACAACCACTTAACTGGCTTTTGAATTTCTTAAATGCAGCGTTTCTGATCTGAGCATTATCTCGGACTCTAACCTTCTGTACCGAGTCACCCATACTGGAGAAGTAGAATGGGAACAGCCCCGGATGTTCACCACTCACTGCAATGTCGATATCACATTCTATCCGTTTGATACTCAATTATGCGAAATCGAGCTAACAAGTTGGGGTTACACGACCGACGAAATTGAACTTCTTCCAGCAAATTCAGAGATTCTTACGGAGAGTTTAGAGTATGTAATATGAATACTTTACAGTAAATTATATCTAAAATCATCCCAAAAATTATGCTTTCCTTAAAACTTAAAAAAAATCATTAATTCTACCCGCTATATTGTATTTACATATGGCTTTTTAGCGGTATCTTTGAATTAATGCATCCATGTCAGTGCCAAAACCGCTAAAATATGAGGCCCGCTTGTTTAATTTACACATTGGATATAGATGTATTGTATATACTGTCCTTAAAGGCTTTATTCCTTGACTTTTATCATTAAATAACCCTTAATGACTTAGAACAAGAAACCTGTCAGCAGGCAATGTTACAATCTTAACCAAATGTAATTTTTACGTATCACAGACCTAACGGTGAGTGGAATTTGCTGCACACAAACGTCAAGAAAACCCAATTGACGGAATTGCGAGTAGACGGCGTGATGACAAAACACTGGGAAATTGTGTTCACATTAGTTTTGCAGAGAAGGACGGCATATTACGTCACAGGCATTTTGTTACCGGTGTTCCTATTGTCCTATCTCAATACAATTGTGTTTCTTCTGCCAGTGGAATCTGGAGAAAAGGTATTCTGTAGTTGAGTCCTATTTCAATACAAGTCCCTGAGATACTTTCTGAAAAGACAACTTTATATTTAAAACTATACATGTATTTATATATGGGTTCAATATAAAAAAATAAGTCCGACATACCATCAGACTCTTACTAATAATTAATAATGTATTTTAATAAATGCTATAATTTTCAATGCGTCATTTTATTGTTTCAGATTGGATTTATTCTCACGGTACTGTTATCTCTAGCCGTGTTACTTACAATCATAACGGATAAAATTCCTTCTACTTCTATCCATGTTTCAATTATTTGTAAGTATTCTTGAAAAGACTTACAACGAAGCATAATTACATGTACATACGAGGGGTAATCCAGAAGTTCTCGAACTAATTGAATAACTTCCAAAATAGAAATAATATAGGGTTTCAGTGTTGAAATTCATGAAGAGATTTTTTTTTTGTATTTTAACGCGCATCTGCAACCGTTCTGCCCATGCCCGGATCACATGATATAGGCGGTCACGTGACATGCTCTATACCCGTTCTATCACAGAAGCCTAAAGATTTCTTACCATGCAAGTTATTTTTTATAACAAAAACGTTCCATTTGTCAGAAATGGCCAAATCTCGGTAATAGTATGGACAGATATTGATATCCTTTTCCAGAATGAGCATGATGACAATCAAAACCCAAGTCTTCTGTCTTTGGAGCGTCGTTTATTCAATATGGATAAAGTATGAGTGCTTTCTTTTTATCATATCTGATATTTTTAAAGTCTAAAGAAAACGATATTTTTTGGATTTAATAATTATGTTATTGTAAATATATGACAACTTATTTTTCTATCTGTCGGTTAATTGTCGATTTTTCATATCAAATTGCTTAACTAAGGACGAATCTCTTCCCCAGCTTGCTTTCACTCGGCAACAGAACAAACATCATTTTTAAACATCTCCCTGTCTTCGCTAAAACAATCAATTCAATTAATAACAAAACTTCTGGCAAGTCTTTTGTCTTAATAAACTGTGTACGAAATGTTATCTATGCTTGTGCAAAGGAATTTCCAAGTTTAACTTTACAGCCGTTCGTTGCTCGATTACGACTGAGTCAACCATTTTTTGTCACAAGTGATCAACATATTGACGTCAGTTTTACATTGTAAACATGGGCAACACATTTTATTACATAAGCTATTTATAGATCATGTGTATGACTCTATGTGTACCAAATTTCATTCTGATCTGAATTGTGGTTTTGTAAATATAAAGATAGTTCGCGAACTTTTTGATCAACCCTCGTATATCTTTTTCACTGTTTTTAAAATTCTAATTTAAGGGGGCCGGCTGTGGTTTTATTGTGTGAAAACTACAATAACGAAACTCTTCATTTTTATACCATATATAACTTACATTAACTTTAGTGTACATGCAAAGTTTGGGCAAAATCTACCGTCCAGGTATTTTAAGGAACCATCTCAAAATATAGGTACTTTTACTATAGGATTATATAGGAAAGTGCCAATTTTTCGCATTTTAAAGCAAATTATACAAATACTTCTGTAACAATAGACTTTTTTGTTCCAACTATAATATATGATGAGTAATACTATATTGTACATTATGTGTAAGAAACACAAAATTCTACCGCTTTGTTACCAAAGGGGGCATCTCAAAAGGCCTAAAATTAACGAATTTTCCTGTTTTTATAGAGTACTAAAAATATGGCAGGCACAAAAGTATTAGAATGAGAAAATTATGAGAATAATGAAAAAATTCTCAAATTTCTATGTTTTAAATTTCAAGAGCGTATGTTCAATATTTTTTATTTAATAACATTTTTATAATTACCCCTTTCTTTAAGAGCTTCAGTTTATCATAACGTCAAAAACACACTATAACGACGTCAACCTACATATCAGTTGCAAAATCGGTTAAAATTTCAGTTATATAAAATTGTAATTACATTTTTGAACTTGTAATTTCTTAATTTTGTTTAATTTTATTAATCAAGTGAAAAAAGTTGCCTTAAAACGGTAAATACGCTTCATTTTACTATGATGCATGAAATACTGCGCAATGAAAACTACAGTCGGCCCCCTTAAAAAAAAACTTTATATCAATTATCATAATGCGCAGAAATTATTATAACCTGGCTCTTGTGTTTTCAGCTGTGTACCTGGCCATCACCTTATGCTTCAGTGTTGTGTCCTGCATCCTGTCTGTCTTAGTCATGTCTGTCAATTTCCAGGATGATTCAAAGCCTCTACCAAAATGGATCGAAAAACTTATAAGGAACGATCTGTTTCCGTTTGACTGTTTGAAAAAATGTAGCAACTGCTTAAAAACAAGCAGGAACAAGACTTGTAATAGAGATGCTGGCATTCCAGAGGTTAATACAACTGTTGAAGATGTTGACGTAACAGGGAAAGGAGATTCGAACTCCATCAAAAAACCTGAAAGATTTTCATGGAATGATGCAGCTAGAAAACTGGATGTTCTCTTTTTCTATGTGACCTTAGTTTTAATTACACTGGAAACCATAGTTTTCATTGTTGTTTTAATGATAGGTGGAACAGCAAGTGCACAGAGACTTGTCAGCATTAAGTGATATCTATTTAACACAATCTAAATTTTATCCATCTATTAGTGTGTCTATTCGTCTAATTGTCTGTCAATATACTTATTTTTTTTTCTTAGTGAATATTTATCATTGTAATAATATAAAATGTTTTACAGGTTACGCAGGGAGAACTAGTTACTTAAAATGCGTCATATGTTGAAACTTTACTTTTTCTATTCTGTTTTAGTAAACGGTGTTGCGACTGATAATAAGAATGGAATAAATAATTTGCACGTTTTTTTCTGACAAATGTGTCTGGTTTGAAGATGATACTTGGTTTCTTCAGTTCAATAAACGATGTTACCACTTTTAATATGAAAATACAAAAAATTGTTAGTGTAAATTTCATTTGACTTTCATGCTAAATTTAGGAGCCGTCTATCTGTTTATTGTTGACGTTCTGCAATTTTGATGGTAAACGTTATCTAAATATATTATACCATTTAAATTTCTTAAATCAAATGAATGGAAGGCTAATATATATTCAAAAGAAATTCTTTCTTTTCAACAAAATTTAAAAAAATAAACGACGTATAACTTCTCGAAGTACTCAGTTGTAGCATCTAGAAATTCATTTTAATAAATATTGTGATGTGCCTGTACATGTTTTTATTTTTTCCCCACAAATGTAGCAAAGGGCCTACTCGGTATTTTTTAAAATTAACTTCCAGTGGCATTACTGTTTTTTCTTAAATATTCAAGACATTTGAGTTGAATTGGCACTGAAAAAAGCTTTGGGGTCACAATGGGTTCAACCCCTGTCACATCGGGACTGCGTCCTAACAGCAATCGCACGGCGTCTATAAAAATGCAAAACGCCGAGATAAGTGCAGTAGAGTCTCGTGCGCCGTGATAGCGAGATCTCCATTGAACGTGGTGGGGACCCTAAGAACGCTGGGAGACGACGCGTACTTTTGGCGATCGCAATTAAGCCCTGTCACACCAACTGCGTCCACACGGAGTTATTACGGTGTTGTTTTAAAAATCTTTAAAATCTCAGGGAAATTGCACAAATTTCAGTAAAATTTTCACTACGTGGAGATGTCACGGTGCCCTATGGCGACCGACACGTTTCTACGGCGTTCTCGCGGTGTGCTATTGCTTTTCATGTATAGAAATGAACAAAATAAGCAAGTAAAATTTATTATTTTATTTACAATGTCCGCGTACTTTCATACATTTTTAGGCGATTTAACCAGTGTACATCGAGAATATACACGTTCACGTTTGTTCTACAACTTTTATGACACTTTTGTCAGCGTTCACAATGTGTTCTTTATCCTAATTTTGATATACATGTATATTCAGATGGAGTGTAGCATTTTTTTAATTATTCATGTCATACACGGTGAAAATGCTTTTACTTTTGCCAGGAAATATATTTTAATTAAAAATGATCCATTTGAATAAGTTGGTACATGTACTAAATTATTTATAGTTTTATTATTAAAACCCTTCTTTTTTCAATGCTGTCGATTCAGATGTGTTTTAATCTTTCCTTTGACGTTATTACGAGTATAAAAAAATTACACTCCGAAAAATTGTTAAAAAATTCAGATGTAATTCACACTATTGCTGAGAAATAAAATCTACTGAAACAACAGAACAAGCCGATTTACACCTTTCATTTTTCAAAATCTACGACGGACGGTTAGTGCAATAACTTAATGAATGAAACAAATGCGTTCAAATTAGTGCTGATCAAATATGAGGCCATTGCTCTTGTTTTGTGAGCTGGCTGAAAACGCACCAACAACGCTGTGTATACGTAAGCGCATTGCGATCGCCAATGGACGCTGTAGAAATGCCAAGGGAACGCAATGATCGCAGAAGTAACTCCTTGATGATGCTGTGTAATCACAATATGATTAAATCTCATTGGAAACGCGATAGCAAGCGCAGAACGGAATTCGTAGAAACGCGTCAATCACCTCCGCGAGGTTTCCATTTTATAGAAATTTGTGCAATTTTCCTACCATCCCTGCGTTTAAAAATTATGCTACCGTGTGGACCCAGTTGGCGTGCAAGGGTGTAGCATATACTTCGTTGTTGGAGATTTTTATATCATCGCGCTGCTCACCGCAATCACAACTGACGTTTGTTTTAAGCCAGATGCGTTATTTTAGAGGCTCCATTGATCACACGGCTTAGCATATTTTGTGCATGCCCAAAGTGATCGCCGCATTTCAACTAATCAGTAATATGCAGCAATAATCAGTATGCCTTTACCACACATGTAGACCCGCGATCAACACATTGACAATCTTGCCGCAAAAATTGTCACAGCGACGGAGGAGATTTCAAACTGCGCTTGCATCTTCTATGGACGCCTATGATGATATAATCGCCGTTAGTACGCAGTTCCGGTGTGACAGGGGTTAATTAAAGTACGCGCCGTGTGATCGCGGTTTTATAGGATCGCGGTAGAAACGTAGCATAAATACAGGAATAGTAGACTGCACTCCGACAAGAAGTTGTTACTGCGATCATTGCACTCCCTTGGCGTTTCTACTACGTCCATTGGCGATCGCAATGCGCTTACACGGCGTTGCTAGATTATTTTCAGCCAGCTCACAAAACAAGAGCAATGGCCTCATATTTGATCAGCACTAATTTGAACGCATTTGTTTCATTCCTGATCAGGAGCATGGGAGTAGAATTGGAAAGTACTTGTTCTGTTGTTTCAGTAGAGTTGCAATGGAATTACTTAAATTTTCTAACAACTTTTGGGAGTGTTACTTTTTTTTACATTCATAATAACATCAAATGAAAAGATAAAAATAGATCTGAATTGATAAAATTGACAAAAAAGAAGGGTTTTAATAGTAAAACTATCAATGATTTTCACTAAATTATTAGAATTGATCATTTTATTTAAAATATAATTCTTTGGCAAAAGTAAAAGCCTTCTCATCATGTAACGTGTCTCTTTAAAAAAAATGTTACACTCCTTCTGAATATGTATTTATTGGAGAAGAGCGCATTGTGAACGTAAAAATGTTACACTCCTAATGAATATATATTTATTGGTGAAGAAAGCATTGTGAACGTATTGTAAACAACACATTACATATATGTGCAAACGTTAATGACACACTCACATACAGACATACACACAGCGAGGTGAACTCACTCCTTGCACAATATTACATGTGAAGGGGGGTGAAATAAATATCAGTCAATCGCGAATAGATCTTCGTATAAAACGCGATAGCACGTCATTAAATAAATATCGTCAATATAACAATAGCATAAAACGTCAGTTGCATTACGAAAAAGACATTTCCAATTAGACATCTTTTTTCACATTGTGAAAATTTTATAACAAAATTTGTTCAATAATAAAATTTTCCTTTTTTCTTGATGTTTGAAAGATATATTTTTTCTAATACAATAAGAATTTAAAAATTTATCAACAGAGGATTACGTTTGTATATTAAATTGCAACTCAATTGGTGTGAGAGGGTGTATACATATACTTCTCTGATTAAATGAATTGGAGATTTTTATATTGTTACTAAAACACTATTAAAAAATAAAATGATTATTTATAAAAGAATTCTCTCTGCGGAAAACAAAACCAGAAAAATATTTTTAATACAAATTTAGACAACTTACTAGATTCCCAAAAAGTAATGTACTTCTTTCATCGTTAACTTGTAATTAAATAATTGTAATTATCTGTGCAAAATTTGCATCTTTGCAAGGGTTTTATGACCTGCTACTCTCCTTAAAATTAGGGCATGTGATAATAGGAACTATTTGTGAATTGTTTGGAGTTATTTAGATATAAAAAGAGAATTCTGAAAAAAAAATAATCTAACATCAAATATTTACAATGAACTACATGTTCATATATATAATAAAGGTAATTAAGCGTCTCTCTCTCTCTCTCTCTCTCTCTCTCGCTCTCTCTCTCTTGAAAATTAAAATATTTGGCCAGCCACTGATTATAGGTGCTCGATTCATGTACATGTAGTTGTTGGAAATATGGCAAACTCAACATTCATTACACAGGAATGAGGATGTCTTTTCTGGTGAATGACTGCATAAATATTCATTTGATACGTTAAAAAAAAATCATGAAATAAATATACATTGCTGAACTTAATTTTACGGGTTGGATATGTATATTTATATTAATTCTATATCCATTATGATAAGTTCTTGATATCAAATGAAAATTAGAAAAGATAGTGACTTCCTTTAAATGGTACCCCTTTTGATTTGTACTCGAACACTGCATTCTATTCATTGGTACATATATTGGTTTTGCAGTTTAAAAATGCAATAAATTCCATTCAAACCTTTAAATTATTTCTGCTTCAAATCTACCATTCCGGAACATTAAATATCCACTTCAAGTTCTTAATAGACTATCGAATCATTTTTAAGCAGTCAAAGATTTTAAACTTATTCGGATTAGAAGAAGAATTTAAAAATTATGTAATTTGTTCTTTTGTTATTTTCTAAAAGTCCACACGTTAATCAGGGTAGCACAGACTGAACCATTTACAACTTTAACCAGAAATAAAGACGTACAGAATCTTTCGAAATAATTAATTGTCGAGATAAAAAAGCAAATTATTTTGGTTGAAAAAAGTACCAAGTCTTTTGAATTAGCCTTATCTGTCAAAGATAGCCTCTCGCCCATTGTAAGTATCGCTTATGCGATCTGAATGGTTTAATTTTTCAAACACGGCGGTGGCAAAGTGTCCAATTTGTATTTACCCGACACAAAACATATACAAAGTGCGTCAGTGACCTTGGAAAACTAGGTTTAATGAAATTCTTATGTATTCAGTTAAGTTTACAACTGCATTTAGGTTTTTGCATGTGCATTAACTGACGGAGACATCAAATACAAAATTACATTCTGTACTTGGTAACTAAGCACGCCGACCCGGTTGCACGTTAGGATAACAGACTAAGCAATAATCCGCTTTCCTTTTCAAATATTAATCCAGTGATTGAAAACATACATGTTTATAAGACATTGGATTTTGGAGATTGTGTATTGGCGTGAGGACATAAGATTTAATCTGTTATGATATAGAGATATTTTTATACACGAAAACGTAAGTAATTTCTATATTAGCATTTGTTAGAGGCAAACTTCGTAATAAAACTGAAATGTTTCTTCTTTTTTTTTCAAAAAAACCCTACTGTATATAATATTCAGAAAATTTCTTTTAAGGTAAATGAAAGATTTTTTTTTTTGCGTAAGTTCATTTAAAATTCTTTACACGTTCAACTCATATGCACACAGCAAATAACTCTTGAGGTATATCAAATCTAACATAAATGATATAAAAACTAATACCATAATCCAAAACATGAAAAAAGTAACAAAAAATAGCAACCATCAAAAATGACAAAATAAAATTGATGTAATATTTCAATATGAAACACAAAATTGTAGAAAGGTTATAAACACCTTAGCCGATATACATTGACCTACATTGTGTAGTTGATAAAAACAATTTCTGACAATATGTGTCAATTGTGAACCATTTAAAACTGTTAAATAAACTTATTGTGATCTTAACATATACTCTGGTATGTAGACGACACCAAATAACACAATGAAAACACGTACAGTTCCACAGTTTGTCATGCAAGTTTGTGTAATAAAACCAAAATGTGAGGTGATCCATTTCTTAGATTGAAATCCATTTGCTTCCGTCAAGGACCTTTCAATATACGTTAATTTTTAAGTGTAACTTCATTAAATCCTAAACGTAATATGATTAGGGTTACATACATCACGGGAAGTAGTTTTTTTGTTCATCGTTCTAGATACAATACAATGTATATTTGCTGCAAAGTTTTCCCTTAGGCTAGTGTTTCGATATTGCAATCAACATATTTTGTCCGCAGTGCAATCAATGTGTTTTGTTCTGCACTAGTCCTTTAATTAATTCTCCAGTATTGAGACGGTCTTAAACCCAGCAATTTAATATGGTCTTTGAAACACTTAACCTGTATGGCTTTCCATCTGATCAACGCTAAGTTGAGATGTAGGTGAGATAGAACCTATGTTCCCAACACAAAATTGGAACTGCTAGGTCATGCAAATTAGCTAGTGCAAACACACATGGAAACAAGCAGTTTGAAATTGAAAAAATTCATTTCATGGACAATTTTCATTTGCCCCGCCTCTCCTTAAGTGACTTTAAAAGAATTTATACAGGAAGGTATGTAGTTGCATCTGCTAAGAACGATAGTGTTTGAATTACCTTGCCAAGTAAAAAATGGAATTAGTCCTTAATGTTCATGGCCGTGTATATACCGATATACTTTTGAATATTTCTATATGGCGTCATTTATCCGAGACAAAACGTTAAAAAAATGTAAAGTGCAAATGAATATAAGATGTATACCTTTTTTTTACACTGAGGGAATTTCACCGCCGTTTTTCTTCAAATTGTGTACTTATTGCTCAGTTTTAAGATTACATACATATCTGTACTTCATATTTATTGAATATTTCAGTATTTATCAAACAATCTTATTCATTTATTTCAGAGACGCAAAATTCAGAATGGCAGCCACAGTAGCAAAAGCGCCATCTATTCCGAATGTGCAAACCACGCCCCCTCAACCACCCCAAAACAAAGTCGCCACATCAAACGGGGGAACAAAAATCATCTTTAATGGTAGACAAGATACTTCCGGTGGGTACCCCTCTCAGTTTGTCATTCACCAGAAACTGTCCTTCACAAAGCTTCCTAGCATCGTTAATCGAATGCGAGCCGAGACTCTATCCAGTAGAGCAAAGCGAGGGCGCTTCTATAAAAGTGATTCGTACGTGGATTACCGATTTTACAGTTGGAAAAATCTGGCTCTCTGGAGCGACTACCAGTCCCATCTCTGGAAGAGGGACGGAAGTGTCAAAACCTCTTTCAGAAAATAAAACTTACTAAGATATTTATACGTGACAAAGAGTGTTTTTTTGTATTATAATAACTGTGTCTTTCACTACATGGAACAGTATTAGAGTTTATTCATATAAAAATATCATTATAATAAAAATTGATAACATGATTCACAGTTGCAGATTTATTCCTCATCTGTAGTAGAAAATGAAATATTTCCATTACTCATTTTTTTTCTGTGTGATAACTCTTTGAAAGTTAGCGGAGTTGATTTCTTGATAATTCTACCGGAATGTAAATTACGCAGGTCGATAGGCCAGGAGCTAAGGAGGCCTAATATGCATGCAAATCTCGTGCGCATTTGTTCTCTGTGTCTGACGCTAAGGAGGCCAAATATGCATGCATTGCAGCCATTCTCGTGCAGCTGCCTTTGTGTTTGACGTCTGTGGTCGAGGACTATTGAAATTGGTATGGGAGTCCTCGTGTAATTTAAATCTTTGTCTACATTTTTAAAATCTAAATCTACAATTTTATTTTACAGTGTAATGGAAATATAAGGCATCGCTGTCTAGTTCGTACAGCATGCCAAGGAGATCAACGATAGTAGGAAACATGGGATAATTTATGCATAAAATTATCTCACGTTTCCACTATTGTTGATGCCCAGTCATACTATACTAACTAGACAGCGATTCCTTAAATAATAGTGAATGATTGTACATGTATCATAAGAACTAGTTACCAACTAAATATGAAATGATGATATTTTGTTGAGTTTCGGCATTTTACAGCTTGAATATGGTGAACTCTTAGTAAGCCAAGCTGTCTTAAAGTTTGTATACATGTATATATTGAAGTGTGATCCTATGAAATCCAATACTGCAAGTATACATTGTAATGATTGTTATCATTGATTTCACGTATCAAAGTATTTTTTAACTTTTTTCGTCGACTCATTTGGGTTCATAGAATATGTCAGGATCACATCCCTGTATTTGTACAAATGAAAACCTTCGAGGGAAGGATACTCTAACATAACAAATATTGTCAAAAGGTTTTTTTCTCTAAATGACTCGATACTTTGTTGTGCATAATTTCCTGAATTTGGACTAGTGGAAGGATATTTTCAAATGAGTCCAACCAAACTGGATGTTTTATGATTTAATAAAGATACTATCATTTTTATAACGCTTCTCTTCAACTCTTATAAAAATGAGCATGGTATATATGTGGAACTTCATAAATAGATTACACCATATTCATTGATTGGGTTTTTGATTTCAATGAAATCAACAATCAAGTCGAATTGACATGGTTGGTTTGTTTTATTCAGAGGATTGCTGGACCTTTGTTTTATATGCAAAGTAGTCATGGTTTCAATGAAATCATACATCTAGTCCGAAATATCTTACATTTCCTGGCTTTTTACTACAGGTATTTTGATTCTTTACGCGCCAGGAAAACCTTAGAACTGGCGCCATTACGAAGACTGGGAATTTCGCCGTCTTCAACCGGAATTCATTTTTGATACTTGCCAACCGAACTAAATCCTGAAATCAGAATTTATCAATAACACAATGCTTCTAGTACTCACCAATATCGATGAAAAGAAAATACCACTCCACATTTCGTTACAGGACATGCAAGATTTTAAAATGCACGAACTGAAGACAGAGCTTGTCAGTCTCATAAAATGTTTTCATCAGATTTAAACGATATTGGTAAGTACTAAAAGTATTGTAGTATTGATAACTTGTGAGTTTGACATTTAATTCGGTTCGTAAGTATCTAAAATTAACCCCGAGAATGCCGCCTCCTGTTGGATGCGGCGAATCCCCAGGTTTTGTAATGGCACCTGTTCTGACGTTTTCGTGGCACGTAAAATATCCAAATAAAGCCAGGAAAACGTCAGATATTTTGGACTATCGTACATCCTTTACATGACTAATGATTTACCACGTTTGATCATGCAAATTGACATACTGTTAGAACAACTGCACACTTTTTTAAAACCATTGTTATTCTATGGACAAAGAATCATCCAGATTAGGCAAACGGAAAGATAAACAAGAGGCCCATTGTCCACAAAGCTCACCTGAGTAACTTTGACCCTGTTGTTCTTCACCAGACTTTCCTTCATATCAGATCTGTTGTGGCCCCATCCTACCCTCGGGATTATCATTTTAACAATCTAGAATCCACATTACACAAGAATGCTTCCACATATATTTCATTTATTCTTGCTCAGTGGTTCTTGAGAAAAAGATTTTTTCTATATATTTCAATGTAAAACTTGTGATCCCCTATTGTGGCCCCGCACTACACCACCCCCCTCCCCTCCCGGGATGCTTTGAACCAACTTTGATAAAAATTGGCCTAATTTTAAGGTTCCCGAGAAGTTGAAAATGTAAAAGATTACATACGGACTGACAACGGACAACAGGTGATCAGAAAAGTTCACTTGAGCTTTCAGCTCTGGTGAGCTAAAATCTTAGGGCAAAGATTTTAAACAATTTGCCTTTATCTTTTCCCTACAAACTTGAATAATGTTCAGTACCATAGACTCAGGTCAAACAAAAGTCAGACTGGAGAAAGGAAAAAAAATACACTAAGACCGTCTTTAAAAATCTTTGGTTGCTCTCTCCCAACCGACTGCTTAAAAATGGCCCGACTCAAAACTTTTTTTTTTAATTCCAGGATACTATTTTTTTTCTTTTTATTCCCATTATCCTGTCAACAAATACATGTACATGTATGTTGACATTTTCTGGAAAAAACCTACCAGCACAATAATTCTATCTTGAGTCAGGAGAGGACAAGCAAACATTATTTTAAGTTGGCCTAATAAATATCAGCTGCAGATCTGTAGCTCACTTGTCTAAAAAACAAGGGGCCCATGGGCCACATCGCTCACCTGAGAAGCTTTGACCATTCCGTTCTTTACCAGATTTCCCCCTTGTAATCCATATTGTTGCCCCATACTACCCACTGATCATAATTTAGACATTTTGAAATCTACACTACCATAGGATGCTTTCATTCCCAATTGTAAAACTTTGATTCTCCATTGTAGCCCCCGCCCTACCCCAGGGGGTCATGATTAGAACAATATAGAATCTACACTACCCCGGGATGCTTCAACATAAGTTTCAGCTTTTCTGGCCCAATGGTTGTTGAGCAGAAGATTTTCAGAGATTTTTCCTATATATTTCTATGTAAAACTTTGGTCAGCCATTTTGGCCCTGTCCTACCCCCGGGGGTCATGATTTGAACAAACTTAAAACTACACTACCTCTCAGCATGCTTCCATATATGTATGATGAATTATGGCTTTGTCATTCTTGAGAAGAAGATTTTTAAAGAAATTTCCTATATATTTCTATGTAAAACTTTGGTCGGCCATTTTGGCCCCGTCCTACCCCCAGGGGTCATGATTTGAACAAACTTGAATCTACACTACCTGAGCATGCTTCCATATAAATATGATGAATTATGGCTTTGTCATTCTTGAGAAGAAGATTTTTAAAGAATTTTCCTATATATTTCTATGCAAAACTTTGGTTGGCCATTTTTGCCCCGCCCTATCCCCGGGGGTCATGATTTGAACAAATTTGAATCTACACTACCTGAGCATGCTTCCATATAAATATGATGAATTATGGCTTTATCATTCTTGAGAAGAAGATTTTTAAAGAATTTTCATATATATTTCTATGTAAAACTTTGGTCGACCATTTTGGCCCCGCCCTACCCCCGGGGGTCATGATTTGAACAAATTTGAATCTACACTGCCTGAGGATGTTTCTCCATAAATTTCATCTTTCCTAGCACAGTGGTTCTTGAGAAGAAGATTTTTAAAATATGCCACCAAATTTTCATTTATTCCCAATTATCTCCCCTTGAATGAGGGTGTGGCCCTTCATTTGAACAAACTTGAATCCCCTTCACTCAAGGAGACTTTGTGGCAAGTTTGGTTGAAATTGGCCCAGTGGTTCTTGAGAAGAAGTCGAAAATGTGAAAAGTTTACAGACAGACAGACGGACAGACAGACGGACGCCGGGCAAAATGTGATCAGAAAAGCTCACTTGAGCTTTCAGCTCAGGTGAGGTAAAAAGCACTATGCATTATTTGTGGCATGACTTGTAATTCATTTGAGGCAACATTCAGTTCTGACTCTTAACCATGTAAGGCTAAGAAATATGTTCAAAAGAACTTTTAAAGAGGTTTTAATATGTTCAAAAATCTGTCAAATGTAGCCAGGTCAGATTCTGCATCTAAAACAACCTTATCACAGTGTTTTCCCTAAGAACCGGCTACCGGCCAAATTGACCGTTTCAACTGACGAAAATGCCCCTTTGAAATAACAAGAGGCCCATGGGCCACATCGCTCACATGAGCACTGTTGCTAGGAAAAAGTAGAAATTGGTTTATTATTGAAAAGTTTAAATCCAAAAGTAGTCCCATGACCGATCATGGCTTTGCTATTCTTGAGAAGAAGATTTTTATAGAATTTTCCTATATATTTCTATGTAAAACTTTGGTCGGCCATTGTGGACCCGCCCTACCCCCGGGGGTCATGATTTGAACAAATTTGAATCTACACTGCCTGAGGATGCTTCCATATAAATATGATCAATTCTGGCTTGGCTATTCTTGAGAAGAAGATTTTTAAAGAATTTTCCTATATATTTCTATGTAAAACTTTGGTCGGCCATTGTGGTCCCACCCTACCCCCGGGGGTCATGATTTGAACAAACTTGAATCTACACTACCTGAGGATGCTTCCATATAAATATGATCAATTCTGGCTTGGCTATTCTTGAGAAGAAGATATTTAAAATTTTCCTGTATATTTCTATGTAAAACTTTGGTCGGCCATTGTGGCCCCGCCCTACCCCCGGGGGTCATGATTTGAACAAACTTGAATCTACACTACCTGAGGATGCTTCCATATAAATATGATCAATTATGGCTTGGCTATTCTTGAGAAAGAAGATTTTTAAAGAATTTTCCTATATATTTCTATGTAAAACTTTGGTTGGCCACTGTGGCCCCACCCTACCCCCAGGGGTCATGATTTGAACAAACTTGAATCTACATTACCTGAGAATGCTTCCATATAAATATGATCAATTCTGGCTTGGCTATTCTTGAGAAGAAGATTTTTAAAGAATTTTCCTATATATTTCTATGTAAAACTTTGGTCGACCATTTTGGCCCCGCCCTACCCCCGGGGGTCATGATTTGAACAAACTTGAATCTACTCTACTTGTTTCCCCATAAGTTTCATCTTTCCTGGCACAGTGGTTCTTGAGAAGAAGATTTTTAAAACATACCACCAAATTTTCATTAATTCCCAATTATCTCCCCTTGAATGAGGGCGTGGCGCTTCATTTGAACAAACTTGAATCCCCTTCACTCAAGGATGCTTTGTGGCAAGTTTGGTTGAAATTGGCACAGCGGTTCTTGAGAAGAAGTCGAAAATGTGAAAAGTTTACAGACGGACAGACAGACGGACGCAAAATGTGATCAGAAAAGCTCACTTGAGCCTTCGGCTCAGGTGAGCTAAAAATTTTTTGTTAGGTCCACAGAGATTCTGTTCATAAACCTCAGCCCCTAGCCTGTTACAACTGATCTCTAATCCTTTACTTTGAAATAAAGGGAAAACACTGTTATCAAGGTCCAGGTAGAGATACTTTGTTGGGAATGGACCTAGATTCCAAAATCATAAACCTGAATAGCAACACACTACTTCCATTTCATATACTTTAGAAATGGCCATGTATGATGTGAAAACATAAATAGGACAGATGATCAAATGATGCTTCATGTGCAGATACGGATTAAGAGGGTCATAAAATATGCATTAATGAACTGTTTAGGGATTGCCCATGGTATTTTACTTTAAAAGATAAACCAAGTGAAACATTAAGTGTTGTGTGACAACTCAAGTAGTTTAGACTTCTTATTCAGAACATGTCCCTTTTTTAGCATCAATTGTTTCAGTACAATAAAAATTGTCACATTTTCAGCATAATAAATATTTTACATGTTTTAAAGGAAAAGTTCATTATTAAATTTGTTTAATAGAATGTTTAATCTTTAACATGTTTCAAAAAACATTGTTGCTGTTTTAGTTTAACTAAGGGAAGTTATTCTCATTTATTTTCTTAAAAGCTTTATAAAACAGGTACTAGTAGTTTAAATACTGACACATATAATAAGTTTACAGATTTACACACAATTATGTACCTTGCACTATGCAGTTCTTAATTTGACTTAGCATTGTTTTTGTAAGTCCCTTTTCCTGTATTCTTTTGCACGTAAAATAGTCTGTTCAAACAGTGTACAGTACAGTCTCACAGCATCTGGAGAATCATCATTCCCAGGAATGGGATATGTTATAAAGGTAGGGTTACAATTAGAGTCCACAACACCTACAGTCGGTATCAGCATTTTGGCACACTCTGTAACAGCGATATGATCACTTCCAATACTATTTTGTGTATGAAGAAATATAACAACATCAGGGTGCCTGGTTAGATTACTGAACAGTCTGTCAATATTTGTGAGAAGACCTGATTTCCAGAAGCGGCAGTGGGAATATTCACCGGCATTGCTTGCAGTTTTTTCTACAAGAGGCATGTGCTGAGCATTTCTGGAAACAAATAACACAATGCCCCCTCTGTACACAACATGAGCTATAAAATTCAAGGCCAAGTGCAAACGTGGTAAAGTTCTGTCCAGATCAAATATATCTGTATTGTGCCGAAGTCCATGGAGAAAGGACACCATATATGGATGTCTACATCCAAAGTGATGACCATAATGAACCCTGTTTTTGTAAAGTGTTTGCATGTCTACCATTTCTTTGATTTGAAAAAAATCTGGATGCTGCAATGCATTATCTTCAAATGTATCCCCGAGGAGACCTGCAAAATAGTCATTAAACTGCAATTTAGAAATTAAAAAAAGTAAAGTAACTAATAGTAAAATGAAAGCTAAATGAAACAAAAATGGTAAAAAGCCTTCAATTTCTTTCATCTATATTTTCATCATCTTATTTTCTAACGAAGGATAGTAACATTTACTTTCAAAAATTTATGTCTTGTTGAAAAGACATTTAATAAATTTAAGAGATATAACAATTTTCTTCACATTATTACAAGTCATTTCTCATAAATTTTCAAATATTCATGCAGAGTTTCCAAATTCTTTAAACCAAATGTGGGGCCCCATTTTTTTTTTCTGGTTTTAGACTTGCTACACAGAAATGCCTTGCTATATGTCAGGGCTCACACACCACTTTTTGGGACTGGGGCCGGGGCCGTTCAAATTGGGAAAATTATCGTCATTTTGGGAAAAGTTGGATAACCCAAATTCATTAAAAAAAATCCTCAAATTTTGCTTTTCTAGCCTTTTCTCATTCTATTTAACTCTGGTTTTGAATAAACAGTAAAACAGGACAGACATGGGTACGTAGGCTATTTATGAAAGTACATAAGCCTTGTCATTACTAACTTTAGTGTTGATATTGCGGTTGTATGTGTCTTTCTGAGTGACAGTTGCTTACCAATACAGCACGAGACTGAACATGCTGAAGCGTGGGTATGTTTCTAGGTGCAGCTTACTAATGTTTAAATGAAATATCTATTTTTGAAACCAAAATGATTTTTTTTGTCGAAACTACATGACAGGATACTCTGCTCTCGTAGTTAGTACACATTTTTGTAAAAAGCAATAACCTGGTTCCCCGAACCAGTTTACGAATGCATTTGGCTTGAACTAATAAAATAGTAGTAGTGTTTTGTTTGGTTTCTTTTTGCGATTAAGTTTCATGGACTTTTATTTTTTAATTAATATTTGCTATATGAAAGTTGGGAAATTTACACCTTTCTTTTGGGAAAAAAGGTACCTTTTTTGCATTGGGAACGGGGCCGAATATCGGCCCCAGATTTAGAGAATCAAGAGCTCTGTATGTGATCCTTGTCTGATATTGTAAATATCAATAAACAGAAAAATCAAAATTGTAAATCTAAAATGTTTTAATAATTTAAAGTCCCTGGTGTGAAAAATAAGTCAATGATTTCCTGGGCTGACCATAGACATAAAAACACAGATTCACAACTGCACCAGTAAGTGATAAACATGTTTTTTTACTGAAATATGTGACGGTCACGGACCACTTAATATCCTAAGAATAACCCTTTATTCAATATTGGTCTTGTATTTCTATCTAAAGTAAAATTAATAATAATTAATTTTATTATATAAGGATGTAGGATTTGTAAAGTTTTATTCATTTTTGACAGCAAATTAAGAGGTCAATGATCGAAAATTGGCAAACTTTTGGTTAAATGGCCAACCAAGAGTCACTGGTTCCAAATTCAGACTTTTCCCTTGTCTTTTTATAATAAAAAGAAATTTACAAAAAAAATTCCAGAATTATTTGTAAATATGAATTTTCATAAATTACTTTGTTATCCCTGAAGATTTTTCAACTTTTATTTGATTAAAGTTGCACAAGATTTGAAAAAAAGTAATCAATAGGGAAAGCAAGACTTCAAACAGTTGTGAATCTCTGTTATTATAATATGCCTGTGGACCGTGAAGCAATACCGATAGTTTCAAGAATATTATTCATACACCACATACACATTACATATCTGTTATAGAGAGTAGTTACAATAAAAACCAAGAAAAACATCTGCCTTCTGAAAAATTACAGATAAAGAGCCTTCTGAAAAATTACAGATAAAGAATGTCATGCTGACTTAAAATTCGAAATTATACCCACGTTTATACTCATTTTCCATTGGTTTATAATCAACCAGGTCCACTTCTTTTGCCAAAGGCTTTTCTGTTAGGCTTTTGAATACTTTTTCCTCATATATCCTTTCAATTCTGAGTGGTCGGGGGAGAACTACCTTAGCTTTAGTATCTGTCTTGTAGTTTCTCTGAGGACACAGATGAGGGATGTAGGCTCCTACAATCAGCATGTCATAACACAGTTATCTTCCTTTCAATGAGAATATAGTATTCAATCAGAACAGCTTCTGAGATAATTTTACATATTTATTCCTGAGTTTCAATATTTTACAGAATCCAGTTTTACTCGAACAGATCATATGTATCTAAAAGAGTTACACAAATGTAAAATTTCTCTACATATTTTCAAGGTTTTTTAAAATTCGATGTAGAAGTGGAGAAAATTCTGGCTATGCAAAAAGGCAATGTTTTATTTTATTATTTTTTTTTGAAGAAAGAAACAGACAAAACTTTGATTACTTGTTATATTATTTGTGACATACCTGCCAGAGAGTTGATCTTTTTTAATTTATTAAGCATTATTAGAACGGACTCGACCTTTTTAATGCAACCGGAAGTCATGCTGCTCTGAAATTAAGTCGGACGCGAAATCTTTCGATCAACATGCATAATATTTTCCTGTAAAACATGAATACCTAAAAATACCTATTTTTTTATCATTTGCTTAATCATTTATTGACAAAGTGCACCCGTTTCCTTTTTCTTGGAGATTTTCGTTATGACACAAATCCGTACATAGAGAAATGGGTGATCATTAATTTACTTAAAAAGGTACAATATATCCACACAAAAAAAAACCCGAGGGAAAGGAGGGATAGAAATTAAAATGATAATAAAACTTTAAAGATCTTAAACCCAACTTCCTTTATGTACAAGTACCTTAGCATGACAAAAAGGAATTAAGTCTCTCTCTTTCTTTGCAGACTAGACGGACCCCTCGAATCATGAGTTTTCGTGGTATTACGGTTAAATTATAATAAAGTGCTTCAAGACTGAATAATTGAGATGTTTGCTATTTATCACATTTACAAACAATAATTCTCCTTATTTTAAAATGATTTTAACTCACATATCATTTATTATTTGTTCAGAAGGTCATTGAATTCTTGCATAGTTGCTCTTCTGATTTTTTTGCTGACGTCATATGTTTTCGTGGTATTCATAAAACATGTAAACTATGGAAATCTAGTCGTGCAAAACCCTTATAAATTTTACAGTGTCAAAAAACTAGTTAATTGACAAAATGATTACATTATTTGACATGGAAATTTATTTGTTGTTAATTAAGACCACATCTATCTAGGCGTGCCTTAGCTGTATTGCTAAATAATGTAAAATTTTTCTCTTTCTCAAGAGTGACCTAGAAGTAATTTTGTAAAGCTTTATTTGAATGTTTCATGTTTAAAATATGAATTCCATGTATATTTAAAAAGATTAAATGTTTGATTCAATTAATTTTCAATGGCACAATATTTTTTATCATATAACTTTTTTACACCCCCGAAATTTTCTTTGAAAATTATATAAAAAATGACGTTACTAGATCACCGTAGAAAAAATATCAAAAGTGGGAAATTCCAAATTATTGTCACATGACCGGAAGCTGTATGGATAGTTAACAGACAATGATATGCAGGATCGCCGGCTATTAGTTTCTAAGTTTCATATTCTAGTTCAAAACACGACGAATAAGCGTATATTACGCAGATTGTAAAATTTGCGAACTATGCATAACTCACTTGCTATATTTCATTTTGTCAAAGGCAAAAAGGTTTAACATTTGGTCATAAAACATGCACAGGGTTCCCCTTTATTAATGGCAAATATGACGTCATTTCGATCTCGCATTGTGCGATTATTCCTAAAAATAATTAATACCACGAAAACGTATATACCACGAAAACACATGACGGGACGAGATATAAAGAATTTATAAACATTTATTTATCGAACAAATAAAGTAGATGAGAAATTAGGGTACATTGTAATTTTTTTCTTTTTGAAAACCACTTCATGTAAATTACCACTTCGTCAGTGCAATTCAACTTATACTCATAGTTCCCTTTCTAAGAAAGAAATTCTTCAAAATTATACGTCAGTTTTGAATATTTTCAACATCCCAAACAACCAAAATGAATTTGAATGTACCATATCTATATTGGATTCCAAAACTTCATTAAAATCCTTACAAACAAAGATACATATCGGGTTCCAGAAAATGTCCAATCAAGCTTCCTTAATTCTTTACTCCTCACTAAGATATTAACAGTACCGAAGGAGAAACTTTAAGAGTACTGTGCAACAAGTGAAAGTGATTTTTTTTTTAAAGAATATACTGATGTTTTCTCTCTGAAATATTTTTCTAGACTTTTTAAAACCATTAAACTGTTTCAGTGTTTTTTTTGGGGGGGGGGGGGGGGGGGTAGGGATGGGAGACAAAATAATTTTATTAAAAAGATAAATGTGAAGCACGTGTATTTCGTCAAATGATGATTAAAACAGTGGCGTAGCATCGTTTTTGAAAGTGGGGGGGGGGGGGCAGGCAGAGAAAAATTTTTTTTTTACTTACCTGAAAAAGTTGACAAGCAAAAAAAAAAAAAAAAAAAAAAGGTTAAAGTTGCCCGAAGTCGAAAATCCTATTTCGTGGGGGGGGGGGGGGGGGGGGTAGATAAACATTTTTTCATTGTCAACTACTTTTAGTACCAATTCTTATACTACATTTTCGGTACATTTCAAAAAGTGGGGGGGGGGGCCAAACAGGCTTTGAATTAACATTTCCTATAGTGCAAGTAAGGTTGGGAAAAAAAGTGGGGGGCCAGGCCCCCCCTGCCCCCCCCCCGGATACTACGCCCCTGTAAAATAATTTAATATTTCAATATAACAATAAAACCTTTTGGGGTTTCTTAACATTTTTTAAATGTACATAAATTAATACACGTAAAAGCTTTTGTTAAATTGACCTTTTTCACTTTCTGATTATTTTTATTTTAACTGTAGTGCTAAATGTTGTTCATTTTTTACCGACTGGCTATTTCAAGGGAAAACTGGAATAAGAGACCACCTGTCTTAAGTGGCCAGTTTCCAATCTTCCCAAAGGTGGCCTCTTAAAACAGGTTTGACTGTATTTGAGAAATGGTGTAAATCAGATATGGATACTTAAAAATAACAAGGAACTTTTGGACAAATTGAAATCACAAGATTTTACCAATATCAACTGTTTAAAAACTTACGACTTTTCAGAATTATACACACAACTATTCCACACGATATATTAAAGCCGCCAGGCTTTTTGATATCATCGACAGCTGCTATTTCAATAAAAAATGGAACTTGAAAATTTTCTTACCTTGTCATGTGTTATTTGCAAAATTATTTTGATAAATAACATTCTGATTGTACACAAAAGTAATCTGAAGTTGACATAAGAAAGATGCTTAAGTTTCTAATAACATGGACAATATCAATGTGGTTTTTGGAATCCAGGTCTTCCAACAATCTAATGGAATTCCAATGGGTATCAACTGATCCCCTTTACGAGAAGACCTATGTTTGTATTCATGAAGCAGAATTTGTCCAAAATCTTATACGGGAAAAGAAGAAAACACTTGCTGTGCCTTCAACTCGACATTTAGATATATCGACGACGTATTGTCAATTAACAATGGATATTTCCATTCTTATGTCGAAACGATATATCCCGGTGAGCTTGAGATAAAAGATATCACAGAGTCTGACACATCTGTTTCATATTTGGATATTTTACTTGAAAAAGACGTTAATGGTAATCTAACAGCTAAGCTCTATGGAAAACGTGATGACGTTAACTTTTCAATCGTCAACTTCCCTTATATTATGCAGCAATATACCTTCATCACCTGTATACGGAGTTTATATTTCTCAGTTAATTCTATACGCAAGAGCATGATCTACATACATAGTATATACAATTTCTAACACGAAGTAAATTATTGACAATCAAGTAGATAAAACAAGAATATCAGCAGTCTCGTTTAAAGTCATCGTTTCGCAGGTTCTGTGGTCGATAAAATGACCTTGTCAGCAAATATACTAGTAAATTATCATTGAGTCAAATGCTGACTGACTTTTTTCATGCTAATTGTTAGTCCATTATTCACACACTGAATTGACGTTATTTCCCGATCATGACAAGGAGCACATGGCGGATTTGACCGGTCGGCAGGGGATGCTCATTTCTCCATGGTACCTGATCCCATCTCTGATGTTTCGGAGGTCCGTGTTTGCTCTGCCCCTATTTTGTATTGTTTAATGGACTTTTGGGCTTGAATATTGTTTGTTATCTCCGTATATTCCATTGTAATAGATAACGAGACACAACTCGAACAGTATTGTTTCTAGTAGCGTGAGGTGACTCAGATATACATTGGAACGTCTTTATGGAATATATTGGAAGTGTGTCGAATCACATTAAACCATTCTATCTTTCATTTCAAATGAACATCAAAGTCATAATTGTTAATTGCATAGATATATATTTTTGAAAAAATTGTTAATTAAATTGTATTTCTATTTATAAATCAAACTAAGATAGGTTGCACCTAGTCTTGCAAGGTCAATCGAGGACGAATCGCACCTACACAATGTCTGTTAAGTTATCAAAGTGATTGGAGTGCCAATGGTTTGGAAACTTTAAAGCAAATCTGAGAAAAGAGACAATGAATAACACATTACGGTTATGTGCAGTGTTAATCCTCTGGGCGCTTTCTGCAAAAGGTCAAACTGATTTGACCAGAGTAGCAGATAGTTATGGACCTTTGGTTGTTGAAACAACAGTCAAACTTCTCCGTGATGCATGTTTAATTAATGACCACTTTTTTCTTCGACGCATCGCCTCCTTTGAGACTAATGATGGCCTTGCTCTTCTTCCGGCGGACCATGGTGGTATCTGGAAGGTAAACTACACACGATAAACATTTCACATCACACCTAACGATTGACAGTCGTCAGTTTAAACAGTATTAAATTTTATTATTCTTTATTAATTACTAGTATTAGAACTCAAATGATCAAATTTGAAAATTTGAAAACCTATCGACAAATATTATGTGAACTTGTTGAAAAAGCATGTTTTATTTGTGTCTCTAGTTTAACCTTTTCATATTCATTTAGAATGAAGTTTATTTTTGAGAACAATGTTTCGCTAACGCGTACAGTGGGTATGAAATACAAACATATTAACATGACGAACCGTAATCAAGGTCATAAGTCAATTGAATTAATACAAATTTGGAGCAGAGGAAACACATCTACAAACATCAGAGGTGTGATCAGGTGCCATGGGTGCGTAAAGAAGTCAATTTTTAATTTAAATCCCTATGTCATCAACTTATTTGACAATACCGTGTCTTGTTTTTGAAACTTTTCGTACGTGCATGTGTAGTATGCATTGCATATCGAATCAACCGAGAGACAGAAACTCCATATGCACGTTTATTCCTACTTAAATAAGGCAAGTTACGATATAAAATTTGAAGTCGTTACGTTATTTGGATAGTATGATGCCATTAATGTTAGGGAATTCGACGTCTCCAGACTTTTATTATATGTATGATATATATTGTAATTCATTTGGTTTCTCCTTTTCTTGTGACTCATTGAAAACTGAGGTTATAAATCTGTTTTTATTAGAATTGACATAATTGTCAGGCTTACAAGAAAAATATAAATTCATGTGTCAGCTCTTTGACTCTAATAATAGTTTTGGACCATATCACTTTAGGGTCAAAAGTTACCGGAAAAGTGAAGAAAGAAGGTTTTTAATTTATAAAAGATATACTTGTATTAGTTGTGTTTATATTCAAACCGATTTGTTTCAAAGTAGAGGATTAAAAGTTTGTTTTCTGGATACATGTATATTATTATTCTCATAACATTTGAATATAGTTTCAACATACATGTACGCCTAGATATAGAAGTAAATATTTGGAGAAAATGTGTAAAAAGATATCGTGAATTGACAGGAAAACTATACATAAAATGTACATAAGCAATAAACTTTTTCACAGGGTTCTTAAGATACATACTAGTCTAGCATTTTTGAGTATGTCTTGTCATTACACTTAACAAGACGTTAATATAGCTCTAATTTACATTGTAGGTAGATGAAGAAATGTTTAACTATACCCAGTCGGGAACGCCCATTTTGCAAAATATATACAGAGATGTGTTCAATAAATTGTTTGTGGTATGGAAAGGAATAACCTGGAAAGAATTGAATAAACCCTTATTTTCCGGACTTGCTGCAGCAATTTATCTCAAAGCAAAAACCAACGAAACTATACCCCTTTCAAAACCCGGCCAAGCAAAATTTTGGAAGAAGTACTTTCGAACAAATGGAAACGAGCAAGCTTTTCTCACAGCAATGCAGGCAATGCCTGAAGGTGATTACAGTGCATGTTTTACTATTTTCTATTTTATTATGATGCGGATGTATTTATAAAGTTTGTAATTTTAAAACATTTGCGAATATCGTCATTGACTTTTATAATAAATTTAATACCATTTTACATGTACATGATTAGTCGGCCAGTCGTATACTAGTATTTTTTTTTTTAAGATACACTTTCAGATACTATAGTATTTAGCTAATTTTTGGTTTGTAAGTTACCTAGACTCACGACCTTCTGTACATACTCAGAATAATTAAATTTTTTTTCTTGTCGTTTTTAAGAGAATCAAAACTTTACAACCCGGCTAGGAACCCGTTGCATTTTTAATTCTCTATTAGTTAGTTTGAATATTCATGTAATATTTTAATTTTTAAGTGTTTTACCGCAGGTTGCAGCGTGCCTACTCAAGTAGATCTTACATTCATTGTTGAAACATCGTCCAATGTTAACTCTGCAGAACTGAGACAGACAAAAAATTTCATCGCAAGGATAATAAACGGTCTAGTTGTTTCTAGTTCGAAGGTTCAAGTCGCTGTGGTTACATACGGAAGTCAAGCAAATGTTTCATTTCATTTGAATTCTTACTCAAACAAAATAGACGTGGTTTCTCACATCGATTCCATGCCTTTGAGCGGGGGATCGGTAGCTACAAGTAAGGCCTTAAAACTAACGAGGGAAGAAGTATTCGTTGCAAAAAACGGAGCCAGAGTTGGTGCCGCGCAAGTAGCGATTCTTATTACCAAAAGTCCGCCTGACAACAAGACCAAATCCGAAATCGAATCCTCTGTCTTAACTGGAAGTGATGTAACTCTATTCACCATTGCAATTGGCTCAACCGTTAATTCAAATGATTTGAATAAAATCAGCAGCCAACCAAATTGTGTTCATTATACTCACATTGACAATTTTTTGGATTTGGAAGACCTTGCTGCTGAAATGGATGAAGCTATATGTCGAGGTAAATATTTGCCAAATTATAGATACTGTTAATGTAGAAAAAGGAAGCATTTACAAATCAACATGTAAACTTAATTTTCCCCTCTCAACAGAGTTAAGTTGAAAGGACATAGAAACGCGAATGTGTGTGTCGGGGGGTAATTTTTTCCTTGTGGGTGTAACAGAAGTGACGTATTTTGCATAGAGTTCGATGTCGAACGCTGCCTTGATATCTGGATAGATCTATTCTCTTTTGCGAGAGGAATGTTACGCTAAGCGATGCCCATGTTACTGCTTTAATTCTTAATCAAATTTCTTTACACGATTACGTCATTTATCAATTATTTAGCTATTTTAAAGTTTGGATTGCATTTAGCACCAGTGAAATTGTCCAGTGGAAGATTTACCCATCCCTGTAATGTGGACGCCTTACTTTCTATCCCTGACAATCCTTACGGTACCACGATTAAGGTAAGAGCTGGAAATTTCATGTGATTCAAAAATGCAGAAAACTTGCACGCAGTCACATTACAATGACGATCCAAAATACAGACAATACTTTTAGAACAGAATGATGTAAACGTGTTCATGGATTTATATCAGATAAGCCAAGTTCAAGTACGGAGGAAAGGGCTTACCCTTTAACATTTTGCTCAGTGTTTCAACAATGTTACGTAACAACTGGCTTATTTTCTTATATCTTGTTTTCAAGATTTTGATTTTGAATGTTTGTTTCACCTAGGATTACAGTAAATGCACTTAAGTACATGCGTATACATACTTATCCCATACCGAAATCCCGAGTTTAATTAGGTTGTTGAGTACTTACAAATTTTATCAGCATTTCCTGTAAGTGAAAAAAACTGCATTTATGATAATGAATCTGCAATTGTAAAATTAAATTTCTTATTACAGTTAATTATTGTAGGTATTATACGTACATCTTTTTTTTTCCTAAAAACATAGCAAAATTTAATATGTTCGCTAACCTCTTTGTTTCATATACAGATTTCAGTTGGTGCGGGGTCGAGGACTTTATATACTTCGTTCATGTTTGGACAGCCAAACACAGCTAAAAATGACCTTGCCGCCACAGTAGATAACTTCAATCCCCTGACCTTGTATCTCCATGACAACAACCCCAGTTACCACATCAGTATGAAGAGTGTTCTAGGATTGATTTGTATGGATAACTATACCATTGATGTTCAAGTGGGACCACCGAGCTCAGTATGTAGGTACCGCCTTTAAAACAATTTGATCTAAGATGACATTCCAGTTTGCATGCAAGTACTTAAATAAGTTCTTACTATTTATAATAAAAGTGGCAAACTGCACAAACTCTCAGCAGTTCATTGAGAATGCATTATTCTACATGTAATTAATCTCAACCTTCACTCCAGCGCCTGATACTATTTGCATAGAGCAAGGCATCAAGAAAGATTGTTCTAATGTTACAATGAACACAACACCAGCAACCTCTGCAACCCCAGGAACCTCCGCAACATCAGTACCCACAACGTCAACAGCACCTTCCACGCCTGCTGTTGCCACAGCAAGTACATGTAAGTATGAAAAGGATGACAGACAAAGGTTAAATTAATTCATTTTATTAATGTCATTATTTTTCTTGCATTGCCCGTTTTGGTTTTCTTGTTGCGTGAGCTAATTTTAGAGGTTTTTTTTTTTTAAAAAATCCACGATTTTGTACATTTTAATAAATAGAAAAGACAGTCCTTTTACGTGTGACAGTGATCAAGTTCAAAAAGGAAAAATTATTTGTGATTTATTTTGACATCCACTAAGATTATTAACACACAGATAATCATGTAATAAATTATTCACAGTTAATTTTTTTTTAAAGTTGGTTTCATTAATTCATGGATATTGTCCATGAATTGGATATATATTTTTTATATCAGACACGTCATCTATCAGGAAAAACGTAATATATAGTTTGTTTGTGAATATTAAATAATTAATAAATTTAACTATTCCCATACTTTGCACATTAATCTATCCTTTTCGAAGCATTATTTTGCAAACCTTCGAAGATAGAGCATATACTAGGAACAGGCAACTTCATGATGTTTTAACATTGAAATGAATTCAATTTTTCGACTGGAATGTATGTGTATCAAACCAATTTTTTTAATAATGTGATTCTTGCAAAGTTTCAGACACCTTTTTTTCTTGTTATCGTGTCATTTGTAGATCAGACGACCCCGAATATTTGTGTCGGGAACATAACAGTCGCCCAACACCCCAATGACCCAACCAAATTCCTGATGTGTGACATTAAAGGCCAGCTCCTCACAGTTCAGTGTCCACATAAGGAGTTATTCTGCGCGGCCACAAATTTATGCGAGGCACATTGCCCCTCGACGACAACTAAACTCACCCAATCGACAACTCCCATTGTGTCGCCTACGTCATTGGTACCAGCAACAAACAGCACAAGCAGAAAACCCATCATCATTATAGTCTTTACCACTGGACCCCCGGTGATCATGGGTTCGAGAACAGCGCCCTCGAACTCCGCGACAACCACTATTCCTAACACAAAGACGACTTTTACGAATTCACCTGTTAGAACAACACGTGGCATTCCCACTACCACAACATTACAAAAGATTACATCAACAAATTCTGTATCAACAACAACTCACCGAGCAACGACTAATCAAAACTGTCATCAGAACCCATGCACAGTACATGCTTTCATGAATAACAATTTGTATTTCCCCGCATGTGATGAACACGAATATTATCAATGTTTGGGAATAAATTCCAAGAAAACAGTACAATGTCCGCCAGACAAAATTTTTAACCCTGATATATTGAATTGTGTGAATGAATTCGTTTTTAACGAAGAAACTCAGGCTTTTGATAAAACAATTCCAAATCCATGCAAAAATACACGAGGAGATTTATATTTTGTTCACCCTACTGACAAGTCCAAATTTATTCACTGTGACGGGTTTTGGAATGGCTTTATGAGAACATGTCCATCTGGAGAAATATTTCATGAAATGGCACAGTCTTGTATAATGATTGTTAGCTCGGCTTTTGGAAAATAAATGATTTCATAGAGGGAATTTTTGCAGCAACGATATGATATGCATGGTCTGAATATGTTCATGAATAAATGCAATACAGACTGATGTAAGCTACTTAAATAAATGATGTAGAGAAATTCATGACACTGAAAGTCTTTTTTTTCATTCTGGACACTTTTTTTTCTCAGGGTTTTTTTTTTTCCTGCAGTGTTCATTCAACTGACAAATTTGTTGGACCACACATCTACGATTCGAAGCATTGACACCCACGCACTATCCTTGTGATAATTCTCATAATCATTTATCATGGTATTATTTGCTACAAAATTACTAATGCACCATCTTAATTATATGAACAATAAATGAGTGTTTTTAGTAGATGGACTTCAAACATTAAGTTTTGAATTTATTATGTCATTAAAGTTAAACGTACACTGAACAAGGATTATCAAAGACTTTTTGGAGTCATTTTTGAAACAATATTTATTTAAACAAGATTAGATAAATACACATTTATATAGATACGATAGTAAACTGCCGAATGAGAATACCATAAACTAAGGTGGTTGCAATGGATTTCTTTGGCGCACACCAAGGTGTTGTTATTTACTTTTGGGCTGTGCCTAGTGAAATTAAAATTATCAATTTTTGTAATAGATCTTTGTTTGACAATTGATAACGTATTAATACCCTCCTTCAAGAGTATTTAATGCTGAGTTGTTCGTATCTAACAGCTTTGGCTCAGTTTCTCTTGGTGAAAACTTGTTTCACTTGCTGTACATGATCTAAGAACAAAACAAAATGAGGACTCTGGTTATATTATTGAGTGTGTCAATTTTAGGTATTTTTGGACAATTCACTGATAAAACGCGTATTCCTGGTGCAAAAGGTTCAGATGTTGTTGAGGCAGTAGTTAATTTAATAAAAAATTCTTGTATTTTCCCAAATGATCGAATGTACTTGAGAAGACTAGCCTATGTGGAGACGCAAGACGGACTCAATCCAAATACTTATAGAATAGGATACAATGGAGGAATCTGGCAGGTATCGTATTTTATCATTATCTATCTCAAAAGGAAGTTAGACTTCTGTAAGTTCAATTGCACTTTCAGTTATAAAAAATTAAAGTTTTATTCATTAACTTTATACAATCCTATTTATATTTTAAATCGATTTACCGGTATGTTCCGTTAAACAGATCTAAATATGGAGGTTGAATCAATGACAAAGTTGGCTATGTCTACAAACTACATCAGAATTTTAAACTTTGCATTATGATCCGTATTTCAAACTCGATTCACCCGGAAAGTTGGTGATAGAATTTTTACAGAGGATATATATTTGGCTTGCATTTGTAATTTTTTTTAATTTTGATATTACATAATTTGATGTGATAGTCATGTAATAATAATAGTGAAAAGGGTAAGGTATGGACCCTTTTTAATAACCTAATGCATAACAACTGGAGAATTTCTAAATAATTTTTTTTACACAAACATATAAATGGTACAATGATTTTTTTTATAACAGTGTTACGAGGCTCAGTTAGAAACAAATTTTTACACAAAATTATAAATGAAACAATTGTTTTTTATAGGTTGACGAGGCTCAGTTTAGACTAACACAAATATCAGGAACACTCACCAATGAAAAGCAAATGCTGAAAAAACTAGGTATTGACTGGTCCAGCGTGACATGGGCGGATCTAAGAAAACCATTGTTCTCTGGATTGGCGGCTGCCATGTATGCAACGATTCAGGCTGGAGCGGGAGGAATTCCCGTGGGTATAGAGTACCAGTCCGTCTTCTGGAAGAACACGACAAGACCAACAAAAGAAGTCAATGTGTTCTACAAAGCAGCCCAAAATTTGAAGACAGGTGAGATAAAACCACATACTTGGTAACAGTAGTCTAGTTTGCATTACAGTAATTGACGGGGTATGAGGGCAACATGGACCTAAAAGCACAAATATGATACTTTTTACGCATCGATGATAGCATTACATTTTTCAAATAAGATTTTCGTTTACCTTTCTTTCACCCAATACTAAATGTTTTGGTCGACTTGCAGGTTGCTCACAGAAGAATAATCTTGACTTAGCCTTTATTGTCGACGCCTCATCATCTTTATCATCACTTGACTTCACAAACACTACAATGTTTGTAAGAAACGTCATCAATAAGTTCAACATTGGTTTCAACGAAACAAGGGTTTCCCTCATAAAATACAGGTAATTGTAGGAATTTTGATAATACCTGTGTTTCATTGATATATATTTCACATTTCATTCTTAATTACTTCTTGTTTTCATCATTACCGTAGCACTTCTGTTACCGAAGAGTTCAAACTTAATACGTACGATTCGAACGCCGCTGTAGATAAGGCCGTATCAGGAGTTCGTTTCAATGGCGGTGGTACCAAGACAGACGCAGCAATCCAGTATGCAGTGGACAACATTTTCCCCGTGGCAGATGGTGGACGTTTGGGGTCGGTAAAGGTATGATTTCCTAGAACTTTCTTACAACATTGATTGCAAACAAATCCCTCAAATTTCGACAAATGCAGTGTATTTGTGTTTTTAACTAGCATTGACTGGTAATCCATCTTATTTCCAGTAATCACGAATCATTTCTCGTACGAAGAAATATAAAAATTAGAAATTTTTCTATATATAAATAATTTTGGTACCATTATTTGCGTTTTCAACTGGTACATGTATATTTCCTTTTGTTTATTAACTTATAGGTTATTGTATTGATCACGGATGGGCGATCAGAAAACAAACTTAAAACATTACAGGCAGCAGTAAATGCCAAAAAGAGTGGCATTACCATCTTCACTATTGGAGTTACGCCACAAGTGGATTCGGTTTGTACAAAAATAAAATTAGAAATATTAGCGGTCACTTGATCCCATTTTTTTCCTCTTTTTTCTCTTTAAATCCCGTTTGAATAATGATGTAATATGTTCGAGTAAGCGAGAAAATTTGCCGACATACCTGTAATATCCATCCTATACCAATTACTAATTACAGACAGAACTTGAAGGTATTGCAAGTCAGCCGACTTGTACCCACGTAGAACTCCTAAACAACTTCAATGATTTAGACTCCCTCACAGCAGAAATTGAACAAGTCTCATGTACAGGTATGTTCATGAAAACTTCTCACACTTGATACCGTTGATTTGGAAACATTTTAACCAAAGATCGTTTACATTTGAAGAAAAATGCCACTTTTCAACAATGAAAATTTAAATGTTTATATATTGATAAATATCTTTTAAATGTTAAGATACTCTCTGAACTCTTTCTAGCCCCCGTTGTGCTGACGCCCAGTGCGGTTGCCTACACCTTCCCATGTGGTTCTCCACTTAATGTGGAGGTTCTGCCTAGCCTCCAGGACGGATCCTCTGTCAGAGTGCGTACAGCTTGAACAAAATGAAATGAATAAAATATATTTACAATATTTTAAATAGAGACATTCGTGTTATAGAGATAAAAATAAAAGTACTAAATCTGCAAAACTAAAAATGTATGTTTATCATATCCCACATTGTAAGGTATTGTATTTTATGTTAGGTAACAGTAACAGAGGGATCGGTGACGATATACGGATCAACCAGTGCTAAGGCCAGCTCAGTTCTAAACGAATTTCAGCGGATAACCACCTTTACCAGACCAATGACCTTCTACATCAAAGGAAACAACACTATTTCCTTGGCTTTTGTAAGCAACCTTCCAGCATCATGCAAAAGTAACTTCCGTGTTGAAGTCACACAAGGTGTCAACATTAGACCAAGTGAGTGAAGTAATGTGAATCCACAAAAGTTTCAATTTTTTTTCCATGATTAAAAGTAGATAAACTTTGGAAGTAATAGTGATTACATGTATATCATTTTACCATTACTGACGTAAATTCGTGTTCTTCAGTAATTTCCTTTTACTTCTTCTCGGTCATAATTTAAAGTAAACTTTGTTTAAACTCTTATTATACACAAGTACGCTCATCTTGTGTGGAATCGATGTTTATTTTGGATAGGGTGGGCCACAACAGGATTTCAAAGTCATATAAGAAATAAAATCGGTAATTACTAGTGATGCACATGAAGTGTCAACTGTTACATTTTATTTTCAGATCATTACTTCATCAAAATAAGACCAAGATCTTTGATTTTCAAACAAAATGCACGTACATGGTAGTTTTGTCTAAATGCTCTCCTACAGCGAAGATCCAGTCAAATTGTTCTGGAGTTACCTCCATGCTATATAGATCCAACTTTTTATCCTAATATTATCCTGCGGATGATGAAAACATAAGAAATGATTTTATCTGTTTTACCTGTTTTTAAGAATAATTGGAGAAAGGCATTTATATGCTGTCATCAACCTCTATACATGCATGTATGTATTTTAGTGGGAAGAAATAGGGTCTGTGTGATCTAAGCGATTACCCGGGCCGATGGGCATTTTATAGTATATCTGATTCATTTATTTTATTTACAGATAGTCAAGCCCTTTGTGTTGAAAATGATATTGTAAAGAATTGTTCCACCACAACCCTCTTTCAGAGTCCGTTTCTAATCCAAGGGCCCGGTACGTTATCCTTCAAGTACTAGAATTCTTTTATCACTCTGTACACAGGAATGAGAATTTAATATTCCATCTTTTAACTTTGCTCAATTTTTTTACATATTTTCCAGAACGCTTATTTATTATATGTGCAATTATACATCATGACATTCTCCAATTTACCTTCAAGGAACAATTGTCTCTTTTAGGTGCTAATTTCTTGAGCCCATGTGATCCAACTGTTGGACATATACAAATATTCCCATATCCGACAAGAAACGATCGCTTTATCTTCTGTGACGACAAAGGTCACACATTCATAGTCTTATGTCCTCTTGGTGACGTGTACATTGCATCATACCAGACCTGTGTTCCGGGACAACTTTATATTGCCACAAGCACCACCCGTGTTGTAACCCAAGCCGTCGTCACCACACAGAGACCTACTACCCCGATCCCCGTCACAATTAGTCCGAGCCCAAGCCCTGGAACTGTCCAGAATCCATGCACCCCGGAAAACATCATCAACCAAAATATGTTCTTTCCATACC